CTTTTCCCTGCTCTAATAGTATTTTTAAATTATTTCTGTTAGCATCGTTTTGCAATTTTTAATTTATGTGTCTTCTCCCATTGGACGAAATTCCTTGAAAACAAAGTACATGTGTTATTTATCTTTGTATACCCCATCAAAATGCCAGTGAAATGTGTCAGAAGTGTTTATTGAATTAATACATAAATAAATTATTACTAGGCACATTATAGAACTAACCAGAGTTCCCCTTAGGGAGAATTTTATGTATGCACCAAGCACTCACTCATTCACTCTGATATCCCTTGGAATTTACCCAGTAAGGGGCCTCTCCAAGGTTAGTTCAGGACCATTGCCAGAGGCTATGATGGTGAAACTGGCCTTCTTTCCAACCCACCTGGAAAAACTCCATTTTGTCTTCTCTTTAAATCATTCAAATCACAGCTTTCTAAGGAGGTATTTGCCTTGGCCATTTCTGTTTTCTCTCTGCAGATTAACTGTCTTTAATCTAACTGAAAGTTCCCCTTTACGCAAATGGAGATGAAGGATGAATTAACCAATTTGAGCCTTGTAGGGGAAGTTGTATGAGCAGCCTCTCCTGAAGAACAGGGACCTTTTCCCTTGAAACCTACTGTGGTGCTGTTGATCTCTTGACCTTTCAGTAACTGTCATTTGGGACTACTGTTGCTGGCAATTAATGACTGTTAGGTCAGCTGGAAAGTAGTCTCCAGGTACTTAGCTGTAGGTCTAGGCTTCTTCTAACTGCTCTTCATGAAAAATCATATGCTGAACTCACAAATGACTCCTCTGCTATTAAAAGAAGAAGCTGCCTTATAGAATTATGAACCATTCCAAGTTCTGGATTCTGCTGCAGACTACTGGCTATTTAAGAATAAAATAGTTGGTTTTTTACACTTCATGATGAATGGAGCTGTATGAAATCATATGATATGCAGATTTTTAAAATTATTTATAACAAAGTGAATTTTAGACTTCAGAACACAGATTAACAGTATACCTTTTGAAAACAATTTATAGTATGCTATAAAAGTTTTCTTTCTGTTTAAAAGGGTTTTCCAAATATACAATTCCCATTTTTACATTTTTGAGCTTATATACACCCATACAATCATATATATTTCTACTGCGACAACAATTCCTTAACCATTTTGTTTCAGAAGCAAAGTTTAGGGACACTTTCAAAATGTTCTTTTGACTTTGTAGCCTCTAATACTTTCTTAAAATTCGGAATCTCGGGGTCCAAAGTGGCTCCTGCCAGAGGTCATCAGTTCAAGGCTAACCTCATAAGCTCAAACTGATTGGCAAAAAAAAAATAAAAATAAAAAATCGGAATCTAAGCTTAACTCAAACCTAGATTGTAAATTCAAGTAATAGATAAGTTGTCAGCTTCAAGTGAAAAAAAAAAGTAATATTGAGAGATTTTTAAAATCAAAATATTCAAGAAATATTTGTTGCAAACATCTTTCTGTGTAGTATTCATATGGACGCCACATAAGTTTCATATGGCACAGTCACTTCAAAAAGACAGAATAGAGGAAACCCTCACATGTAGTTGTGGGACATTGTGGTTTATATTACTGCATTTCCTGTACATTACCCGGGTGTTAACTCAGATATTATCAATCTAGGGAAGGATACACTCCCTTTCCAGTGCTTTAGTGGTGGTGGTGAAAGCAAAGGTGAGACTGTTTTCATATGCAAAGTTGGTTTGTCCTTGTTTTTCATTGACTTTCTAATTAAGGAGAGTGACCTCCTGGGCATAGTTTGCATAGTCATAAGATAGCCTTAGAGTACCACAATTTGGGAGACAGGACAGGCCAGGGGCAAAAATAGGAAGCAGGGAGAAGCAAAAACAGGAAAACATTGAAATGTTTTCCAAGTTACGATTTTGCAGAGGGATCTGAGCACTGCAATGTGTGTAGTGTTAAAAGTCACTGCTGTAGTTGATCATGTATCAGAATAAAATTTAAAAATGTTTCAAACTTTGGCCTCCCTGAGTAAATCTATTCTTCCCAAATCTTGCTTCATCTGATACAACATTTCTAGTTTAGCTTAGGATGTCCCCATTCATTTTGTAGTTCACTCCTTCTGGAAGAGAGATGAGGTGATGCACATGTGATCTAAAGAATTTTCTATTCTTCCTCTTCTTAATTCATGTTTTTGTTCTGTGCACTGTGCTTGAATTTTTCAACTTGTCGAAGCGTTACATGTGAGTCCCAGAGACCTGCTGTGTAATCAATTCCTTGTCCTTCAGTTCCTGAATATAATCTATGATGTAGGAGGAAAGGAAAAGGTTAGAGCAGGCTAGAGGTCAGACTTGAGCTCTGTTCCTTAGAAAAAGGTAGACATTAGTAAAGTAGAAGAGAGTAGTAAGGATATGTGAAGACTGTGGCAGGGTTAGGGTTAGAGTGAGAGATCGGGCAGATGTATGGCATGTCTGGAAGAATCAATTGGTATAGAGTAGAGAATCTAGGATGTTTATACTAAAGCCAGCGTCTAAAAATTCACCATGATCTCTGTCAGTCTTTAGCATAGTAAAACTTCCCATTTACAATGAAATACATATTTTAAACGAAGAAACAAATGGAAGCTGACTGTTTGGTTTTGCCAGAGGTGGAGAGAAAGCTACAACAGTAAAAGCAGTTCTCAAATGTTAATCACCTGTGGCATAGTAGTTAACTTAGAATAATATTGAAATGTTTGTGCATCTGACATTCTCCACAAACCTGTCTCCTTTTATGTGAATGCATGTCAGTATATAAATTGCTAAATCCATGTCAGTTGTAAAGTAATGGCACTGAGGGCATCATAAATTACCATGGTGATCCTCAGGAGAAGACACTGTCATATCTGAATGAGTGTTTCACTTCCAGAGTAATGTATGCCTTCATCTGGCCCAGCAGTCAGCATATTGCCCTGTGTTGATGGATATTGTCAGCTGGAAGCTACACTACATTTCACTGCACAATAAACATGGCTGTCAAACCCATATAAAGTGAAATCAATTTATCCTGTATGGTCAGTGCATTTTAAATGAAATTAATGTACTGTGGGTATGGTGGCAAAGAGGTATCATATTAGTTATACATCTTGGGATCTAAGACTTTTCATGTAAAGGATCATTCTGTCCAGTAGGCCTAAAAGAAGGGCTGTTTATAAAATATGTTATTTCTGCACATTCTTCAGAAAGTAGCCTTTCACCCTCCTTCCTGTTTAGAAAAAAAATTCATGTTAGCTAATCCCACCCCTTTATACTGCCTTTTGTTTGCAGTAAATGATGGCCATATTTGCTAAATAATAGTGCACTATAATGTTGTAATGTATTACTGGCTTTGACACAAATTTCTACATAACCAAGGTATCTAAAAATAGAGTGGAAGGGCAAGAGACTGATTGAATCACATTGGTCCTCCATAATACCTTCACTGAGGGTTTACTTTTTTCAGAAAATAGAAATATTGGTTTTAATGTGTATTTTGCATCTAAACTTCTGGGTGTAGGCATTCCTGTTACATGGTAGAAGCCTTGTCTGAGGCTATCAGTTTGACCACTTTACCTTTAATTATAGAAGTTCTCAATCTGCAGGAGATATGCAGGAGTTGCCATATCACAAAGTGTACATTAGCATATCACCCTAGTAGGGTGCATGAAAACAACCAAGAGCCAAGTTCATTCATTCATTTATTCATTCAGTCATTCATTAATGTAACACATTTTGCTAATTGAAATCCTATGTGCCAAGTACTTCATTGAATCCTAGGAATACAGCAGTGAATGAGACCCAGCCCTTGCTCTATCTTCAAGGAGCTTTCATCTAGTATGTTACTAGAGTCAGCTCTTTGGAAATTATAAAACATCAGGAATTTAGGCATAGTTTCATAGATGTTAAAGAACTACCCTTAAACAACAGAAAAAACAGATCAGGAATCTTGAAATCAATGCCTCTAAATCTATGACTTTTGCATATGAGGTGAAAACCAAATAATCTTTGTTTAATGAATATTTTATTATCTATTATGTGGGAAATCCTGAGGATACAAGAATGAGTACAGCATAATCACTAACTTTAGGTATCTCATATTCCTGAGAGGAGTGGAAAGGAGGGAGATAGTCACATAAATAATAATTACCATGGGGCATGTCTCCTGAAAGCAAGAGGAGTGAGTGCAGCCTGGGGAGCCTCATTGAAAATGCTGTCCCTTTAGCCTAAAGTCCCATCTGGCTTTACTCCCTCTCCCACTCACCTGCTGATTCCTATTCATTCTTCAGGACTCATTTTAGGCATCACATCTCCTAGGAAGCACTAGCTGACTATTCTGTCTGGTGCTCTTTTGGTGCCCTGTTATTGTCAATATCATAGCACCTCTCACCTCCTTTGTTATAATCATCTGTCCTTACTCTGAACTGTGAGCTCCTTAAAAGCATGAGCTGTTTTATTTACCATGGTCTCCTTAGCACCTGGTATAAAACCTAGGTTATAGTAATTGTTCAATTAATATTTTTCATTGAATTAATTTATTCAGTCATGAAACATGTCAACATTGAAGGATAAATGGGATTTAGCATGAAAGAGTAGGAGGGGGTCTTCTAGGCAATGAAAAGAGCACAGGTCAAAACCATATTGTGAAAAAAATTCTATTTGTAGGAAACATATAGAGTGGTTGTGATCTGGGGCAAACAAGTCTAAAATGACAGGTAAAAGCATGCTTTTGAAGAAAGGAATTACAGCAGCAAAGTTTGCCATAAGGTAATGTCATTCATTGCTGCATCATCACCTAATATTGATTATAGTAAATGTGGTAAAATTAATTCTTAGTATGTTTTTGAGGGCTACATCAGAAAAGCCTATAGAATTGTCATTTGAATCTGCCTTCTACTTCCAGGAAGTCACTTAGAAAATAAGAGGAGGACCTGAGAAAAACAGCTGACCCAAGCTGTGTGACGTTATCCACGTAATAACGCTTTCCACTCATCTTGTTCTTCCTGCCCTGACATTACAGGAAGTAAAGCAATGAATGGCTCTGCAGCTAAACTTCAGCAGTATTATTGTTGGCCAACAGGAGGTGCCACTGTGGCTGAAGCACGAGTCTACAGGGATGCCCGCGGCCGTGCCAGCAGTGAGCCACACATCAAGCGACCAATGAATGCATTCATGGTTTGGGCAAAGGATGAGAGGAGGAAAATCCTTCAGGCCTTCCCCGACATGCATAACTCCAACATTAGCAAAATCTTAGGTGAGTTCCGAAGCTAAAGCTGATCTTCTCTGCCGTGAGTCCCATAAGTGCCACCAGGGTGGGAAGCAGGGGCATAACTAGGATCCTAAGGGAGACTGGGGGGCACAAGTTAGATGAAGATCAGCCAGCTGCCGCAGGAGACTTTGTAATCATCTGTGCCTCCCCCACCCCACAACGTGGCATTTAGGTTTGGGAGATATTATATCCACCAGGTGCCAGGCAGCACTGGCTAAACACTTATTTTAGAGACAAAACTATTTATAGTATGTGTTAATACTGGGAATTTAGCAACTCTTGAGAGGTCACAGGAATCATGGAGACAAGCTGTATCTCTTTTTACTGTGCAGTTCTCTTAAATTCATACGTTGCTATAAAATACTCATAGACTCTACAGTTTTCTGCTTTAGTGTTCTTGGGTTCACATGTCCCACTGAAAGAATTCATCAAGGACTAGAAACCCAAAATGGTGTGAAATTCATGGAGTGCAGAACAGTGCCTCTGATGATCACTTTAAAACTTGTAAAATAAATCTACATTTATTTTAATAAGATATGACTAGTTCAAATTTCATAGCAGTGAGCTGAACACACAAATGACAGGGCAGAGGCCCATTTTGTGGTAAATTGCCAGAGTGAGTCTCTATTTCTCAGGATTAAACTCAAGCCTTGTTCTGTTAGTATAGAGCTTGCCTAGTGCAGATTGTACAGTTTGGAATTATTGTGCTCAACATGTTAAACATATTTTATTCAACATGCAGCATTACAGTCAACATGTTTCCTCTTTAAAAAGGAAAAACACAGAAGGCACTGTTCTACTTAAGCTGTCACAATGTGACAGAATCTCAAAGGAAGCCATTTAAGAAGCTGAAAAACATTAGAGACTTAAACTGTGGTTTTAATTTTTTAAATGTTTTGTTCAAAAGTAATAAATATTTAACCTGAGTAAATATCAGTGATCTGGACATGCAGAGATACACATGTTTTGTCACTGTATAAATAATTTAACTTGATTCTGAGGCATTTTAAGGCAGTGACCTCTAACAAAAATTTAAAATATACATAAGCTCAAATACTGGTGAAATGTTAAAAAATGTTTTTCTTTTTTTCTTTTGATTTTCTAATTTCAAAATGGATACTAAATGTCATTACAATTAAGTGTGGTTTTTAATTTTAGAGCTTCAGAGTTACGCATAGGGATGTTATTCTTTTGAATGTAAATACCTTTCAAACCAAAGGTTCCTAATAGACACATTTTTTTTTCTAGTTAAACGACATTCTAAAAGAGAAAAAATTAGGCTTTCTGGTCTTACAGTTTTATATCTAACTTTGAGATTTTCGTATTTTTCTGCCCTTTTAGTATCAATATGTGTAAGCTTTCAGATAGGCACAGAACCTCTCTGTTTCCATTTTGGCAGCTGCGGGGAATCTATATTATTGGTGTGCATTCTGTGAAAAAATTATTAAGAATATAGTAAGTATATTCATTAAAATGTAAACTTTTAAGCGCAAGCATTTCAAGAGCACCAAGAATTCTTTGTTAATTGGGGCTATAAGCTGCTGGAAGCCAGCAGAACACAGAGAAACCTATCTGCATAGATCATCTACACAACTTTTGCACAACCATCAGGAAAGAGCAGGGATGGATGTGCTATTAAAGCAGACCAGGATATTGCTGGCTGCAGAGAGTATTTGTACAACTTTTCCATTTGTTTATGTATGAAAAATCTCCACTGAAGAATAGCTAACATCCAGTCTGCACAGCTGTTACCGCTTTATTCACCAGCGAGACACAAAAATGCAATTTGATACATGTAAAAAGACACATCCCCTCTTTGTCAAGTGTTTAGATAATTCTTTATAAACAATATTAGAGGATTGAATACTTATCCTTCTCCCTGTATAAACCGTATTAAAAATTTTTGTACTTTTATTGGTACAGCTTTGAATGAGCGTTTATAGTACTTGAAAGTGGTATATATAATTCCAATGGTACCTTCCGGTTCTAAAGCTATAACTTCTTAAGTAGAGCTTAGGTTTTTTAATTACCTAGGCCAGGGGAGATGTGTACACAGTAGTTTTTTATATATGGAAAGGTTTCAACATCTGCTGACATCTTGTCAAAGGATAGTTTCGCTAAAGATAGTTGGAGTTTGGGAGATGTTTAAATTTCTAGGACCAAGAAAGATGTTTAAATTTCTAGGACCTGAGAATCATGTCATGCTCAAAAGTGTGCTTAGGAGGTTTAGCCTTTTAAGCTTGTTGAGAGGATAGACATGTGGATGGGAAAGACCTTGGTGTAGGCAATGATCTTCAAGCAGCAAAGATATATTTTAAAACACTATAGTAGCATCCGTCTTAAACTATTGAGAGAAATAATACAAGAAAGTATCATATGCAAAATTGTTCTTTGCAGTATAGTCTAAAAGTCTAGGTGGGAAGGCCAGCAATATGTGGTAATTGGAGCCACCCAGCACACAGATGAGTGAAGTGGTGTGAAGGTATATCTAATTGTGTTTGCCTGGAATATGTTGCCTTGACTACTTTGGTACTTAAGGCTATTTTTATTTCTAGGATCTCGCTGGAAATCCATGTCCAACCAGGAGAAGCAACCGTATTATGAAGAGCAGGCCCGGCTAAGCAAGATCCACTTAGAGAAGTACCCAAACTATAAATACAAACCCCGACCGAAACGCACCTGCATTGTTGATGGCAAAAAGCTCCGAATTGGGGAGTATAAGCAACTGATGAGGTCTCGGAGACAGGAGATGAGGCAGTTCTTTACTGTGGGGTAAGTATTCTTGAATTTAGCCACCTGGGCCTTGCTTTTGCAGTAAGTAACTGTAGGATGGCTACCAGCAGTATGTTTGGGAAGGAGATTAGGGAAGGAGGAGGTTGTGACATACTGAAGGGGTCTGGCCATGAGAGTCTTTGCTGTGTAGTAGGGACATAGCCTTGCACCATGGCTCCTATTCAAATCAAGCCAAACCTGGAACAGCTCACTCCCAGCTGATCACTCCTGTCATTGTCTCCCCAGCCAATTTAAGATGCTCAGTGCCCACACACAGAGTTTCTGGTAGTTTATTTAAGCAGACATAGAGAGGAAAAAAAGATCAAAACTAACCTTAAGAAATCCCCAGAAGTTTTCCAGCTTCTCTGGGTGTGCTTCTGACTCTAATCACAATAGTCTGCTTTTGTTGTGGGATCTACCACAAGATAATTGGCCTTGACATTGGTTAGAGGACCTCATTTTTGGCATAAGATCCAGAACTCCTGTTGCAGTAAATTACTCTGTGGTAGGAGAAGTAACAATGTGTATTTTCTTGCTTAAATCAGAAACTAGACATGCTTTTGATATCTTCAAGTCTGATTTCATGTCATTTTGTTTAAAAATTAGGTAACAGATTTCTGGTATAAATTTCGACTTGGCTGACTGGCTGTCTGCATTCAAAAGAGGCCCCTCGTAACCACAGTAGTCAGGATAAGTGGGGATGCAGAGTGTAGATTCTGGCATATCCAGACCTAGAAGCACAGCCGGGTGGCAAACCCAGAGGGCCATTTGAGGCACAGACCTGAAGCAGCTGGACTCAGGGTAGGGAAACACTTAGGAAAAAGCTTGAGAGAGAGAGAAATGGAGTAAGCAAGAGGGAAGCTGCATTTGCTGTGAACTTAGAGGAGAATTGAGGAGCTGTGCTGTGCTAAGGAACTAAGAGAGCTTCACTTGAAGGGAGAAAAAGAGATATCTTAAAGGAGAAGTAAAGAGCTATTTATTTTTTAAAGCACTCAAGAGGTAACCCTGTGGAACAAAAAGTTGGTTTCAGAGCAAGTATTTAAAAGGAATAGTAAATAGACTAGGAAAAACAAAGCCAGTGAAAGTAGTGTGGGTCATTAATCTGTGCAATACACTGTGGTGTTTTGGGGAGGAGTGTGGGCTTTGGAGTTTGACTCCTGGGGTTTACATACTGACTGTCCCATCTACCTGGGCAAGTTATTTAACTTCTCTAACTTCTGTTTTCTCATGTGTAAAATGAAACCAATAGCAGAAGCTATCTTGTGTGATTGTTGAGAGGATTCACTGAGGCAATGCTTTTAAAAGTACTTTATATAGTGCTTAGTACAATATCAATAAAGGTGAACTCTAGCATTATCATTACTATTTAATATGTATTTATTATCACAGAAAATGATATTTTATATCACACCAGATGATCAATGAATTTCTTTATACCACAACAGAACCTCTTAGAGGTAGAGAGAAGCTTAAGCCACTTTATTATTCAAAGATCCCAGTATGTTAATAATGAAGACATGACAAAATAGGATTATCAAATTCCTCTATATTATAAATGTTTGCATTTGTAAAGGTAGTGCTTTTAACGTGTAAAAGTGCAATGCAGTATAATTGGGTTATTCAGATGATAATTAGAGGTTTTATGAAAAATACTAATTCATAGTCCACTTTAAGATTGTGTGATAAACATTCTCTTTTAATCCTGTTAGTACACCTCTAAGATAGTATATAATCTCTTTTTAACAATCCATAGTTTAAGTTTGAGACCTTTTGTGATTCCTCCCCTTTTCCCCAGTAGTGTTCCCTGTGTATGTAGTGATACATAGTGGGGCTGTTTCACCAGTCTGGAAGGCGATGAAAGGTACTGTTTTAATACCTTGACATAATACTTATTTGAAAATATGAGTTGCAGTGACTATTGAATTTAGTTCCCTTTACTAAAGGATACATTAAAACAGCTCTGGATCAAAATACCACAACATGTACCAGTACATGTAAAATAAAACAATAGCATCTATTATTTATTGACTACCTGCTGTATACTAGAATTTTAGATATATAAATCACATAATTCTCTAAATAAGGTAAAGAAATTGAGGTTTAGAGAGTTCCTATAGCTACAGAAAGGTGACAAAGAGCAAAGGTTCAAATTCACATCTTGGGCCCCCATCATGCCAAGTGACTGAGGAACTGTCCTTATCACTTTGTCTCAAAATATGACTCATAGCCCTATGGTGGCATTTGTGAATGTGGCTGTGCCATTTGAGCAAGAGTTCTTAGCACTAGGAAAAAATGAAGTCTCTGCTTGTGGCATATGGTGCATAAAAAGAGCTTTGAAATTTAGAGACTAAGTATGCTGCTCTTGTTCGTGTAGGAGAGTCCTTTATGGAAGGATCAGTTTAGACTGCAGAATAGGGCTACTGAAGTGCAGACAATGATCAGAATGTCTTACTCTTTGATCTCAATGCTGAGCGTTTTCCTCTGCTCAGGTTTGATAAAACTTTCTATATAGAACGAGGTGTTATTTCTGCTTAAGGATTTGTATTCTCTTTTAAGTAGCTGTAGTTGATAGATTATTAACTTCCTGAGGTTTATCTTTGGATATTGATCTTTATTAGATATGAGGTTATTATAAGAGTAGAGAGAAAAACAAACAAAAAATTCAAATATTGCTATTGACATCTTGATGGAATGGGTTGAGATCAATTTTTATAGCTGATTTTGAAAAGACATGCATAAATTTCAAGCCAATAAAAGTGCATATACTGCTAAACATTTTCATGCATTTTACTGACTACACAACTGTGGCCGATGAGTTATTTTTTTTTTATTACTTAGCTATTTTGAAATGAATTTATCAATAATATGGAATGGAGCAAAGTTAGCTCTTGCCTTGGTTTTAACCCCTTCGGTTTGCAGAATAAGTATCAGAATATTGTAATAATCCTGATAAGTGTACTATTAATGTAGAGGCAATATTCATTAGGGTACATATAACTACAACGATGTCTTCCCAAAAAACTATGACCAAATATACTTATTTGAAACTTATTTGGTAATTTACCTATGAACGCATAGAGAATTATGCAGGTACATTCAGCCCTCCACATCTGTGGGTTCTGCATCTGTGTATTCAACCAATTGTGTATCAAAAATATATTTTTTTAATTCCAGAAAATGTTATATTATTGCTAAGTTACACTGTGAAGCTAGGTCTACAGTGGTTGCATCTCTATGGAACATGTACAGACTTTTATTTTCTTGTCTTCGTTTCCTTAGCAATTCAGTATAACAAGTGTTTACATAGCATTTACATTGTATAGGCTACTATAAATAATAAGATTGTTTAAAGTATATGGGGGATGTGTGTAGGTTATATGCAAATACTATACCACTTTATAAAAGGGACTTGAGCATCCTCGCATTTTGTTATCTGTGGAGGATCCTAGAACCAATTCCCCATGACACTGATATAAAACTACTATAAAATATTAAATTTAGGGCTACTTTTTGAGCAATGATAAAGATACATTATTGAATACTTACTGTGTGGCATATACTCTGCTGAGTAGATTATACAGATTATTGCAAATACAACAAATTTACAAGGTAGGCAATATTATTCCCACTATACAATTGAAAAACACAATATTCAGAGGTGTTAATTTGTCCAAGACCTCACAGCTAGTTAGTGGCAGAGCTGAGATGTAAACCAGTCTTCTGTGAATGTGAAGTATGTGTAATTTCTACCAAAGGATATTGGTAAGGACATGACATTATGCACACAGAGGCTGTACAGTGTAGTAGTTAAGAGCATCAGTTCTGGAAGCAGACTATTCTGGCTCAAATACTAGATCTGCACCTCCTTGGCTGTAGGAACTAATACATGGCAATCTTTATTCCTCTGAACTCACCCTTGCCTTTGGGAAGCATTTAATCTCTCTCTACCCCAGTTTCCTCATATGTAAAATGAGAATGATAATACTGACGACATGACACATTCAGGACTCTTCTTGAAGACTGAGTAACTTAATATTTATAAAGTGTTTAGAACATTGCCTAGCATATGAAAAGCTCTAAATTCAAGTATATATTATAATTCTAGAAAAATAATACCGTGTCCCAAGTATATATTCTATATTATACTAAAATAATTATTTTCAGTGCCTTGTGCTGTAAGTGATTTGAAAATTTGCCATTTTAATCTTAGTTTTAAAAAGTTTTAAATAGGATTGCCTATTTAAGACACTTACAAAATACAATTAAATTAGCATGGATTAGCCATTATTTTTAAATATTGTCCTCCTGTAAAGGCCCTGGATTAGAAGATTCAATAGGTAAAGTGAACAGATTACTATAATTTCTGTTCCCTCCTGCAATATCAGCTACAGAGGTATATGACGTATAGGCTTTACCTCCTAATGAAACAAACTTCCTTGCTTTTATTTATACACTTTGAAGGGTCTAAATGGTCAGCAAACAATGGGGCTTTGCCAGCATAAATATGTAGTTACTTTGTAATTGGCAAAGCTAGATTACACTCCAGAAATACTCCTGTCATTTGGAAGTCATGTAGCAATGGTGGGCTCTATTTTTACTTAGACTGGGAGGAAGGGTTCTTAACTATCTCTGTTCACATCAACTGCATGTGTATACTTTTACAAACATCTACAAATTTTGTTTTGATGTGCGCATTCATTATTTGTAAAGCCCAATACCTGCCAGCTATTCCTGTTTGTGAAATCTGCAGTGTCTGAATTTCAACTTTGAAATTGATCTATAAAGGAAGGAAAAATGCTTTTTAGGAAAGTAATTTCTGATAGACATAGCTTGAACCTCCTGGCTGGGTTTCTTATTTTGTTCATTGATTTGTTAGTCAATTGGTAAGGGCCTATTTGAAACCAGCTATGTGTCTAGCACTTTACTAAATTAATACAGTAACTGAGACATTATTTCTGTACACATGAGCTTCAGAGAAATCAGTAGTTGGAGAAGCCAGA